GGCGTCCGCCTGCGAGCGGGCGCCGGCGCTCACCGAAGCAACCAAGACGTCGCCGATCATCTCCACGGCGTCCCACTCGGCCACGCGGCTGGCCAGGGCGATCTGGAACAGGCGGTGACACTGCAGGACCCCCCGGAGCCGGCGAAACGCCACCTTCAGCTTCCGCTCGCTCAGGAGCTTGGGCTCCATCTCCGACAGCGGCCTCTCGTACTGCTGATGCACAGAGACAGACGGCACGGACGCCCTCAAGGCGAAGCACGCGGGACGCGCGCTCCCCCGGCGCCAACGCGCAGGCACGGCATCTGGATTCTTACGGGAATTCTACAGCTTGGAGTGGTTTATGGTTCGCATATGTGAGTATACACATGTAACAAAAATACACATGTACCAAAAGGCCAATACCACACGCGTGTACTCATGACATGACACTTAGCTACCTCCAGAATCCCCGTGAGAGAATCTATGTAGTTCTTCTCACTGTCGACAATCGAAGCAAGAATGTATCTTCTTGCAACCTGTTGGAATTTGAAAATATAATGGTGAGAAGTTACTTACAAATTTTATTTCTATCTGAGCCTTATTGATAAAGCAGTATTTTGGGTTTTGTTTTCAAAGTAGTGGATAAATTGAACCTCCAAAGGCCCCTAAAATATTTTAAATAGTGTGTTAACTGGCATTATGGACACAAAACATGCTCCTCCCACCGCTACAATTATGTGTTTTTAATCCTCAGAATACAAATTATAACTACAGCAGGACAAGTAAAATTACAGCACTAATAATAAATTTATTCACTTATATGACACTAATGAACTGAATTAACTAACTCTACCTCACGTGCCTGACGCTGAGTTACGTATTTCCTGTATTAACTAGCTATTAAAAGAACAGCTCCTCTTGATGCGAAGAATCCATCATTCCGAAGCTGCAGGAGCGCGAAGGGCCCGTGGGGGGCGGGGGAGCAGACGCTGGGCCTTCGAGGGGGAGGACGCGGGAGCAAGTCGCTCAGTGTCCTCTCAGAGCTGCCCCAGGCACTGGCCCTCCGAACACCGACGCCCCAGGCACTGGCCCTCCGAACACCGACGCCAGGTCCTGGTGTCACGACCGACGTGCACACAAACTGCCGTCGCCTGCCTGTTACGGCCGAGGATGACGCTCAGCTTTTCATCAGCCCTCAACAGTGTCTGGCAAGTTATTTTTGCCAACGATGGAAAACAGCATCAAGTTACAGAAAGGTCGCTTCTGAGGCTCTCTGCCCCTCCCCGCCTCACAGGGCTGCGTGCCCACGCACGCACCCCACCCTCCCCGAGTCCCCACAGCCCAGTGCCACCTGGCGGCAGAGACGGCGTCCCCCACGAGGTGAAGGCCTTCGGTGCGCCAGGCCAGCCGGATTCACAAAGCACGATTGACAAAGGGGTCGTTCTGTTCTTTACCAAAAATCCAATTCCATCCACAAATGACTAAATTCAACCTTTCTGGATACTTAAGGAAGTGATCTATTTTTCCTAAGCGCAGCTGTGTCTGGGATCAAAGCACGAGCACGCAGGACCATGGCCCGGACCCTCAGCTGCGGCCAGCCCCGCGGCCTGCATCGCCTCGGCTGGGTCACAGGCACAGGCCTGGCACGGACCCTTCGATCCAGAATGGAAGTGTGACCCCAGGACCGGTCACACCCCAGACTGGCAGAGGGTCCCCTCGAGGCCAGCCTCTTCCCAACGTTCGGACCCGCAGACCCCGCCTCGGGTCTGGAGGCTGAAGATTTGGGGTGTCACGCAGGAACCGCATCTGAGACGGCACCAGCGTGTCGGTCAGCAGACCTGGGGTCGCTGTGTGACAGACACAAAGTGGGCCGAGGAAGCCCCCGGACCTGTGGCTCCTGCACGCCGGGTCCGCGTTCCAGGGCCGCTCGGCACAGGGAGCCCCAGCAGGACGGCAGTGAGGCCACGGCGTCACCATCCGACTGGGAAGCCGACACCGAGGTCACAGAGGGGACTTCGCCGCCCAAACGAGCTTTTCTGCCAAAGCCTGTGGACGAGCCGGGAGTGACCTTGTCCCGCAGCCAGAGGGCGGTTTCCTGTCCCCGGGGGTGACCAGACAGGGCCCTTGCCTGGCACCAAGACTACTTTTTAAGTGACAACCCGTGAAATCACACGGCTTCCTGCTGTTTTTCCACCAATTCGGTCTGAAAAGGAGGCTGACAGCCAGCGCTTCGGTCACGGTTGTGCTAACTTGGCCCCTCAGGACCCCCTGGGGACACACGCGGTGGCCCGTGGAAAAATGCCGTGCAAGTCGTGACAAGCTGGAAGCAAACACTCGCAGTCCTAGACGTGGGTCGTGTTTTGTGGTTGTGACAGCCACAGCCATGTGTGTGCGGCGCTGACCACGCCGCACGGGGCACCAGGCAAAGCCCCTCGCGCGTCGCGTAGCTCGGTCGTCACCGTCACGTCACAGGAAGATGGAGGCAGACGTGGACACCCCATGGCCCAGGCAAACGGGGCCGCCAGGAAGTGAGCAGGCAGCCTGACAGGTCCTGGCTCAGCGTGGCAGGGGCTGGGCTCTGGGGCCAGTCCAGGGCGCCTTCTGCGTGGCTCCTCCCGCGTCACAGACCCCCTCGCGGTCACCTCCCGGCCCGCGGAGTGGCCAAAACACACTGGCGGACGCGAGCGTCTGTTTAGACACCCTGGGCTCCCCTTTTCCCCTCCTGCACCCCGACCCCCACTGCCTGGACGGCGACACCAGGCAGCCCCCCCATGCCTCTGGGCCACCCTGCCTCGGGGTACTCTGCTGTTGCACCTCACCACTGAGTCATCGAGTCACCGGAGACGGAGTCAAGTCCGGCCAGGACAAGCACGGAGAGCCCGGACGTGGCCGGAGCCCAAACAGCAAAGGACAGAAGCGCGGGGTGAGCCGGGTCGGAGCCGGCAGAGGCC